AATAATAAACACAATTGTTTTTAAAGTTTTCACAAGGGTAATATTATTATATATCTCATAATCCCTAGCAATATGCAACAAAACAAAGATCAGATAACGAATATATATCTTATATAAGAAGTTGCTGACTTAATTGTATTTCCTGTATTATTATTAATGTACAACCGATAAAATGTTGTTACAGCTAAACCACCATTGAACTACAAACGGATTAATTTTTACTTGTTTGAATTTTGTTACCTACATATTAAATATAAAAAGGAATTGCATTTTTACTGCAAATACAAAATATTTTTTCATAAAACTAAATACAAATTGTTTCATTTTCTTTTATACTAAAAATCAAATTAGTACACTGAATACTATTTGAATACTTTGATAATGACAAAGTAAAAATGAAATAAATTTAGTTACATTACACATGTTAAAGCATGAATGGGCCGGCTCGACCGGAGTGATACCACGGCCTCACAGAAAACCGACGTGAAGCAACGCTTGCGTTGTGTTTTGTCGTGTGAGTGAGGGTACTGGAGGCCTATTCCCTTCCCTCTACCCCTCAAAGGCTGGCAGCACGCTTGTAGCCCCTCGGGTGTTGCAGGTGTCCATGGGCGACGGTAATCACTTACCATCAGGTGATCCGTCTTCTCGTCTGCCCCCTATCCCATAAAAAAAAACTTGGAAACCAATGCCAAACATAAAAAAAAATAAGTTTTCTTAAAATTCCTAATAAATTGTGAAGTATTGACTTAAAACTTTTGTTGGTTTTAAATGGTAACTTTAAGCAATTTTTAACAAAAACCAGGTGGTTTAGAAGTATAAACTACAAAAAGAAACAAGTTTACAATATTAGAGGAAACTGAAAGTGCATGCAGCTTATTTATGTTGAATAATATCCAATTTTCTTTTTAATGCAGCTGCAGATGCTTCTTCGGTGAATTTTCTATTTTGCAATATACAATATCGCTTTATACACATGAAAAAAGTGCTTGTAGTAATTTTTATTATATTTTCATGTTTGTGGATTTGACAGTTATTTAAAAATTCAAAATTTATATTATGTTGTAGGTGTTGTAAAATTGTTGATTTCAGATTTTTTATATGGCCCTTTTCTTTTAATATTTCGTTAGTGATAGAAGCACATTGTTCCACACAAACAGCCATATTTTTTGTAACATAAATCAATTTTTTTTTTCTGTCCTCGTATTCCTTACACTCCACAAATAAATGGTGACTTTCTATACTTTTTGCCTGAAATATAATTATACAATCATTGCATGTACTTTTAAATCTTTTTAAAAGAAAACCACATAAATATGTACATGCATCAATTTCAGAGTCACAATCTGTGTATTCTACATCAGTAATATTTATTGTTTCTTGCCTTTCTTCGATGGCAGTGGGATGTACAACAGACAACATTTTTTCGAAGTTGTTTATGATATTATTTTGATCTGTCTCACAATTGCCCTTTATCCCAATGTGAGGTAAATTAGATAAAACTGCTGTTTTAAGGGCTGCTGTGAATTGGCCACATGTTGGGTTCATATTTGAACCGCAATTGCTTCGTATACAACCAAAAAGATTTTCAATGGGATCTTGCTGTAGTCTCCTGGTTGCTAAGCTTTTTATGCCATGTGTCGCTACTAATTTGTACCACACACGCCCAACTGCATTTAATGTCCACAACCAACATTCATGTGATGGTGGTGTCCGAGGGCTTCCAATATATTTTAATGATGAAATATATTTTTTCATTTCTTCAAAATATTTTAAATGAGGTGTATTTTTCCTCAAATTTGTAGCATGAGGTTTACCTCTTCTTAAGTCTGGACAATCACTGTTCAGACAGTCAAACAATTTATCAATTTTCGTGAACATCTCAGCTGTAACAGCAGCCTCAGCAGAGAGTTCTCCTGGAAATAAATGAATTTCAATATTATTTAGGAGAATATATTTTCAAACCATTAAACTATACTGCTGCTACTGCTATTATATTTTCAAACACTGTTTGCTTACTTTAATAATACCTATCTTATGTAATAAAAATGACTTGCTTAATTGTATGTATGAACAACTGTATCAAATAAAATAATACTTTTTGTTTATTTCTTTATATCAGGACAAGGTTTCTTATAAATGAGAACTTTATAAAATTGCAAAGCTTATGACAAATATTTTCTATTCCCTGTGCACTATGTTAATATGGTAAAACATTCCAATAATTTTAAAGTTGCTAGCTGTTATTTATAATATTGTTTTCTTTTTGCACATTTACTTACCCCTTGAAATTTTTGCATACATTCCTGCTGCTACAGAATGACTGAACACCTGCGCCGCCAATTTCACCTTCATTTTCTGCTTGCTATTGGGATTTAGGTGATCTTTACTCAAACATGGAGCAAACACAAAAATATGGTTAGAATTGTCAACTTCATAGAATTGCTTTAAATGTGACCACTTAGCAATACCTGAAAAAATATACAACACTTTACTTACACAAGAAAAATTTTTATTAAATAAAATTAGTTTTACTAGTAACATAATAACAGTTTCTAATAGTAACATATTGCAAAAATATATAATTTTTGAATTTACATATATGTAATAAAACATATAATTAGTTTATTAAAAGTATTCAGTGTTAATTGTTAATTTAGAACACATTTTTTCTTTTAAAAATAAGTTATAAAAACTATTTCTAGGTTTGGCTATCAGTAGAGTTGATATTGTTATCAATAAGGAATAGATAATTTTTCAAATAATAATTACATACCTCTTCCTAACTTATTATCTGATGAAATATTCATATTGCATTCAATGTCATGCTTCAATAGTGTGTTTCGGAAACATTTCAATAAATGTGGAGGATCATAGAGAGTTACAATCTCCTTATTATTAAAATATATGCTTGGTTGCTCCTGTGATGCACCCAAAATAGTTAGTGCCCTTCTATTTACTCCATCACAGTCACAGACCATGGCTACTATGTTCAGTTTTGCTTCAAAACATTGCTGTAGTACCTTTAATAGAAATAAAAATATATATTAGTTAACATTTCCAAAAAAAGATATTTAACAAAAGTATGATTTTTAAGTATAATGAAGTAACTGTTCATGTATTTACCTCCTTTATGAGTACAGATAATCTATCTGCAGTCGAAAACCCACTGGAAAAATAATGGGCAACTGGCTGCTTCACCCTCTTTCTTATACCTACTATCATAAACACTAAAGCATATCCAGCAATAAGGGGTGACCTCCCTTGTCCAGCATGGTCCTGGAAACCTTCTATAAAGTCTTCTTTAACATTATATGATAAATTTTTCTTCAATGATATCTCATCGAACATCAATGTGTAGGCATTATCGGTGGGATCTTGAGTTTTAATAAAGTCCTCCAAGGTTTTAAAAATACAAAGATTGACTCCTACATTGAAAGGTATTTTATTTAATAATATTCTCAATGTACCAGGTGATGGCAAACAAAATAGTCTGCGCAGTAACCTGTAGCATGTTGGAGACTTTTTATATATTCTCAATGCTGTAATTTTTTCTTTGTTAGACCATCTCCGACCAGTAGCCTTTTTTTTAAAGTTTTTTATTTGCCCCTGTAGTAGTAAAGCAAATGCTGGAGAAATTTTATTTGACAACTTAGTTATTGTTTTATTATCTTCTAACAGTTTCAAAGTATTTTTTGCTTTTAAAGTTTTTACTCGAGATCTCAATTTGCAAACCTTTTTTAAATATTTGCAACACTTGGTGTACAGTTCAGACTCTCTTTGTGTTTTAGGTTTATACATAACAGGACTTGTCTTCTGATTTTGAATGTTATCATATCCAGATTTAATATTTTCTAAATTTCCCAAAGGTATTCTGTGCGAAGGGCCTGGCTGTGGCTCTTCAAAATGTTGTAAATCTTCTTGAGCCTGGGAAACCAAATAAGTGTTAATAATAACTAAACTTACTATATTATATACATAAATATATAACAAAAATAAGAAGCCTCTATTCAGAAAACTATTTGCTGCATTTTAGTTGTTAACTTACATCAGATGGAAAGGCAGTTCTTATTAACTTCTTTTTAGAACTATCAGTGAAATCACATTCCTTAAAATGTTTTTGGCAAAGCATTCTGTGTTCATTATGTAGTTTTGTTTGAAATGAAACAGAGTTATAGTCACCATCAGGGAACATATAGTTGGCCCATAATAAACAACTGAAAAGAAAAGTAAACAATATATTAATGAAAAATGCTTAAACCAGCCCATGCAAAATCGATCAAATATTTAAGCAAACAATATGTTAACATATCAATATCTATTTGCTGTTGCGTTTTGGATAGGTTGCAATATAAACGACATGGTAAATCTCTTCTACTTTTAAAAGGATCTTTAAAATAACGGTTACTAGTTATAATTATTTATGGAAATTTAGGTACTGAAATGAACTTTACATACCGACTAAGGTTCCATATAGAAGGTTTAGGAATTCTAAACAATTTGACATTGTCCGTAGCTGGAGAACAACCACATTTGAAACATTTTCTCTTATTTTCTTTATCGGCCATCGTGCTGCTGGAAATAATTCTTCTTTATGAAGATGTTTTTTCACAAAACACGATTACAGTCACTGTCTGATTAAAGGCACAACTCACTGCAATTTCCTAGCACATAAAACGGAGGAACAAAAGCTCAACTCGACGTTATAGTATAGAAAACGCAAATTTGTTTCAAACACAACCGATCACGCATGAAAACGAAAACCGATCGCCATTTTCGGTGCTGCCAGGCTAATGGAAGTATTATTAATATAAAGTTCTTCGAGTTTTTTTATTCAAGATAAAATATGCCATATATATCAATTATTTGATTATTCAAAGGCAAAGGCAAATAAATTTTAATAAAAAAAATAACATAAAAAGTATAACATCAATACAAAATGGTGAAATAATGATTATTTAAGTGCAATTCCTAATTACAATAATAACCAAATTAGAACAATTTATGTGTGCTGGCAACATTGATACACTTTCAAAAATTACGGATGTTGCCATTATGAAATTCTGTTGTTGCTAGAAGTAATAATATTCAGCCCCCGTAGGTATCTCACATCGACGTAAAAATCTCTACGGCTATTCAATATTGAAAATGTCTGAATCTAAATTGAAAGAGGTAATTATATGAAATTGTTTTATTTATTTATTATTTAGTTTACATCGTTGTTTGAACTATAACCTCATTGTATTTTTATTAAGTTACGGAGTGATATCGATGAACTTACTGAGTTATCGAAGCTTGCCAAACGCAAGAAGGTTCAGGACATTTTGTCTTTAGAAATTCGCAAGTTAGAAACTGATTGGATAAATATAAAAGAAAAAGAGAAATCCGTCACACCTATGGAAGCCGATCCTGTGCCGACAACGTCTGTGCCCGTTAAAATTAAGAGATACCAAATTAAATTAAATGGTTATGGTAAGTGTTTACTCTACAAATTGTATTAATAATATCATATGTATTATTTAATAGTCATATATATTGTTTAATAATAATCATGTTTACAATATGAATATCTCATTATTAGTCAATACCATTTCATTGCTCAGATTCAAATTTAAATAGGCGAAGGGCTTGTAGAAATTAGAAACAAATAATGCACTACAACCTATATAGACCTGTATGATTGACCTTATGATGGACCAAGGTTGGACACTTGTTCCACCCTCAACTCTGACTTGAAGCTATGATAATATATAAAGTACCTAACGAGATTAAATATTATTTAATAAAAAACTGTGAGCTAGTTGCCAAAATTTTTGCAGATTATATTAGATCAGCTAATGCTGGAGTATTTGAAATTCATATTATTTATTGAATTTCTGCACTTATTTTAATAGAAAAATTAATTTACTATATTCATTGTTAAATTAAACATAGAACCTCAGATTGCCATCATTATGAAATTGGTGTGCAAGTCTCAAAATTAAATTGAGTGGTTACTAAAATACATGACTTATATCATGGACTTCAAACCATAGTGGCAGATAAGCAATTCCCTTACTTTCCAGGAGACATGAAAATAAGACAAGTGTTTTTATTATATTATATTTGATCAATTTTGCTTTCACAATGCTATACTGGAAATAATTCTTAATTAAAAAATGCTTAGCAATCCCAGGTACTATGAGATGGGATTCAAACTCACAACTTTTTGCAACACCCAGCAGCCCGTGCAAAACTACACATACCACCCTCACGCATAGTTCGGTGCCCCATGTCGGCGGAGCCGTTGCATAGGTAGTCAGTCCCCAGCAGCCCAGATTGCAGAATATAATACAAGTGTATCAGTCACATATCGAAATGTGTTTTGCTTTTATGTTATTAAGTTATTTGCCATTTATTAAAGAAGACAGGTTTTTAATGAAAAATGCTTAAAATATCCACTTTGTCCCTGGTACTCTAAGATGGGATTCAAACCCCATGACCTTATGCAATCCAGGCTGCTCTAACCACTGTGCTACCCAGGACCTAATATGACTGACAAATTTTTCAAGCACTTGGTATTTCTTTGCTACAGCAAAAAGTATTTTCATTAATGTTCAGGCAATTCACCTAAACAGCCGAAATAAATATTTTTCGGCTGTTTAGGTGGATTGCCTGAACATACATACAAATATTTGTAAATTTTGATAAAGAACTATTCTATCTATTATAAGGCAAAAATAATAGGGAGCTTGACAAAATATTTTTTAGCAATAGTTTATAGATTTCATTTTTCTACACGAAACAAATAGATGAAACTAACTAATGACTCGTTGAATGTATGTATTGAGAAAGTACAGAAAAAACAGTAATTTAACTGAGAAGTCTAGCATGACGTAAGTTATGCATACTGAGCTGACTGGAGACAAAAAAATTACCTATTTTCATGACACATCATACGTATTATCGATGTTCACTTGTAAAATCACTTTCGTTACTTTACGTGATGTCAACCGTTGCTGAAGGACGGTCTCGGATACACTTATAAAAATGCACACAGATCGTATATCAACAGTACGCGCAGGCACTACTCAAATGTGAATCTGCTCTCGATGTTTCCGTCAACGGTTAACAACATAATCAATTGCATATGAAATGTCTATGATAGTGCTCGGCGCGATTTATTGAACTTACACATTAAAGTATTCGTAACCAGTTTGTACTTGCTATCTGCAGAGATGACGAAGTCTTCAAATGGTCAAAATAAAGACCGATATAATTAATAAAAAACAACTAACAACGTTACGTGGCCATCAGCCAATCCCAGTTAGTTGTTATGTGACTTCTAGTCAGGTTGGGATAACATAAAATGTAAGAAATACACACATATCAATTTTTAATTTAATAACAATTCTATAATCAAAAAGACATTACTTCTAATCACAATTATTCATAAAAACGGACTTTACATAATTTACCGAATATATGTATTAATTACTAAAAAACGAAATAAATAAATAACACCGATCACACAACCTATCACCTAGAAAGGCGGCAGCCTAAAAGAGTCATAGTCTATGGCCATACTCCATGGATTCTCCCAACATTAAATATTAAAAGTTAGAAGTACATCCAATCCTATATGAAAAATAACTTTACACGTAGAGGAGGAGTACTCTAAAAAGGTTTAAAGGTCTAAAGGTTTTTTTTTTTATTTTTTTTTTACCACTGTGGCCCTAATTAACGTATATACTCATGTCAAATTACAACTTTCTTGTATCAATAGTTTTTGAACTAAACTGCGGACGGACGGACAAACGAACATGGCGAAACAATAAGGGTTACATGTTTACTACGGAACCCTAAAAACTACACTAAAGATCATAAAACTATATGTGAATAGAATTATTGGACCAAAAAATTTTATTTCTCCGATGGTTCGTCAAAGATCTGTCAAAATCACTTTGTACCTATTAGACTGCAAAAATTAATTCTGATAAAATCTATATATTATTACTTTTTTTATAAATTTTCTTATATAGGTACAAACCTTGTCCTGACAATAAGGAATACATAAAAAGAAGAATCATCCAATTTGGTGCAGTCGTTTGGAAGTTATGCGCGTACATACATTACGGCGACACATTTCTATTTACATAGATTTAAATTGTTTATTAAGAAGCTCGGTGGCGTAGAGGATGAGCGCCGCGGTCCGCGATCGTTGTTGTTAAGAAACTTTCGCAAGGGTTGGTCACGGGATGGGTGACCAAAAAAAAATATTATCTCGAGCTACTTCGTGCTTCGGAAGGCACGTTAAGCCCTTGGTCCCGGTTGCATTTGCAGTCGTTAATACCCTCCGATCCGCATTGGGCCAGCGTGGAGGGTCATGGCCCATCCTCCTTAACCACCCATAAGGAAGGCCTGAGTCCCTGCAGTGGGGACGTAAAAGGGCTGATAATGATGAAATTGTTTTACGAAAAAAATTAATTATGTTAAATTACTAGCTCTGACGTTATATTTCAATAAACATGAGTACGGTTACACTTGCTATAAAGACGTTGACGTTTTGTAATAGAAATGTGACGACAATATTTATTGTCATGGTGCTCCGTCATAGCCGCGCGTTTCGGTTCTTGTTATCCACAGATTTGAATCGCAAGTTGATTTTGCAAAATTAAAATATACTTACAAATAATGTCAAACAAAAAGTAGGAATATAGGGGATTAGATAAAAAAAAATCGTAATTAACAAAAAGTAGGAAAATAGGGGATTAGATAAAAAAAAATTGTATTTGGTTAAAAAGATCATAAAATTTAAAATTATTCGCCAAAATTTTTGCTAAATGTCATTTATATTTTTAAATGCATACACAGAAATACAATTTTCCAATATTTAAAGTCTATGTCTCACTTCAAATGAAACACCGATCAGAGCACGTGACGTCGTTTGTGGTTAAATTGACAGTAAAACTAGTTATCGAGGAAAAGAGCGGGAAACATTCAAAGTGCAAAGACCTCTTAAAGATTTATTTGATTTTTAACAGGTTACAAGGGTCACTTTAATGTTTTATTTGTGAATTTCTCACTGAAAATCCCTTTTGTTAACCCCACAAATTACGTCTCGCCCTTCGAGTCTTACAAAATACATTTTAATTTTTGTAAAATTATATTTCTTATGCGAATAAGCACCCATAATGAATAATTTAAAACATTTTTAAGAAAGTCGTCTGATTAGGGGATCAGACGACTTTCTTAAAAGTGTTTTAAATTATTTCAAACATTACAAAATTTCAAAATTTATTTATAACTATCTAGTAGGCAAGTATACCTTATGTCACCCGTGTATGTTGTAGCTTCCCGTAGGTGAAAGAATTTTTAAAATCGCTTTAGTGATTTTAAAGTTAATGTAATAACTGAAATATTTCGTCTTAATAAGTATATAGAATTTATGATTAATTCAAAATAGCATACCACATTTCATAATAATTTTGTAGTATATTTTATTTAAGTAATTTATTAATATCAGCATCAGCATCCGCAACAACCCTAACAAATACAAAGTTTTCAATTTATCATCATCATCGCCAGCCTGTTAATGTCCCCACTGCTGGGGCTCAGGCCTTCACTATGAATGGAATCGAATTAAATAAGGAGAACAGGCCATGACCCATCCCAGTCCCAGTGCGGATGGGTGGGTGTTAATAACTGCAGATGCAGCCGAGACCAATGGCTTAACGTGCCTTTAGATAATAACGGAGTTCATATAGTAAATTTTTGCTCACTCATCCTATGAATGTCAATATAGAGAGTTGCTTTATAACCGTATCGCAGACCGAGCGCGCTAGCCACTGCGTTATCAAGCTCCTGCTCTTTTAATTTATACAATAATTTTCTAGGTTGGGATCAGTCTGATAAATATGTCAAAATCTTTGTCACTTTGAAGAATGCTCACACTATACCAAAAGAACAAGTTTACTGTACACTCACGGACCGTTCAATGGAACTACATGTGGAGAACCTTGAGAACAAAGACTATTTGCTTGTAATTAATAAACTGCTTGAACCTATCAATATTGAGGAGAGCCACTGGAAACAGAAAACAGGTAAGATTTAAAACAACATTGATATTTAATTTCAAATATTCAATTATACTACAATTAACTGTACCTTGTGAGTTCCCCTTTTTTCTTCCAAATTATATTTTGGATTGTTACTATTTGATGGGATAAAATGTAAGCTATGAATGTACTGCATGTACCCATATCTAATAACTCATTTAAGTAATTTTCAAATAAAATCAAATGTATATGATGTACTTATTAATAACCTCTATGTCCTGAATGTTTTTATAGATATGATTGTAGTCTTCTTGGCAAAATCACGTCCAAATATAACATGGTCGCATGTAATTGAAATCGAAAAGAAGTTTGAAGATCAACGCAACAACCGTTTCAAAGCTGATGATTCAGACAAAAAGGACCCGCAGGATTCCGTCATGGACTTAATGAGAAAAATGTAAGTGTATATTAATCATGGTTTTGTGTTAACAATTTATAAAATGAAATTGATGACTGTCAGGCATAATTTACTTCTTATGAGTTTAACAGGAGATATGGATGTAAAAAATACATATTATTTTTTCTGGTAGTGTTTAACATAATATTACTGATAATCACACTTTTATGCTTAATATTGTTTAAAGTAAATGTAAAAACAAATATTATATACCTACATGGAACGATATTAGTTTTAGATAGGCTTGCCGTCCTAACGACGCCAACGGAAGTTGGCGTTCTCGCGGGAAATTTTGTAAATTAAAATTATTTTTATATTTTAACCTATTATATGAATGATACTTTTTTGAGATATATTTAGAGATAGTAGTAATAAGTAGCTCGGTGGCGTAAAGAATAAGCGCCGCGGCCCGCGATCATTGTTTTTAAGCAACTTTCGCAAGGGTCGGTCACAGGATGGGTGACCAAAAAATTATTATCTCGAGCTACTTCGTGCTTCGGAAGGCACGTTAAGCCGTTGGTCCCGGTTGCATTTGCAGTCGTTAATACCTTCCAATCCGCATTGGGCCAGCGTGGAGGGTCATGGCCCATCCTCCTTACCCATCCATAAGGAAGGCCTGAGCCCCTGCAGTGGGGACGTAAAAGGGCTGATGATGATGATTTAGAGATATATAAATGCCACAATTCTATTACATTATTTAAGCATTATACAGTAAAACTTTACTGTATTATGGCGTGTCGTGATTGTTAGTTTGGACAAAACAGATCTGTTAATTCTGATGATGTATGATTGAAATATATATAATCAGTTTTGTATGAATAAACAAAAGATGTGAAATAAAATGCGAATCGCCGCGAGTTTTGCCGAATGGGAATGACAGGTCAAAGCTAATCACAGATGGCGCTATCGTAGTATAATTAGAGACACAGGGCCAATCCAAACACACCCTTAAGCCTTACTATTTTACCTAATTAAGCATTGAAGAAACTGTTTGACCGACTGAGAGTCGAGACCGATATGTCCTTCTTTTCGTCTTTTTGGGTGAAGCTACGCCAATGCCATTTTCCCAGTATGCCTTCCCCATTTGGCGTTTTAAGCAGGTACATTGTTTAACCATGTAAATTTTAATGTAATTACTTATACTAGCTATAGGCTCATATATATAATCTATTGAAGCTAATCTCATAATATTTCTTCTCCTTACAGGTATGAGACTGGTGATGATGAAATGAAACGCATGATAGCAAAGACGATGTATGAATCACAGCATAAGAAGAAAACTGATCTTGTAGATCTTTAAATATAATGTCTAGTTAATGTAAGAGTAATAAAGTAAAGGTACCTACTGCTTAATAATATGACTATGTATTATTTTTGATACCTATTTAGCTATATATATATTTATTGTGAACATAATTTTAAACAGACTTCAAAAAAGAAGGTTATCAATTCGATCGGACTGTAACAATCGTTATCGTTCTGATATATTTTGTTTAATTAATTAGATTTCTACTTAAGGTATTATTCGCAAAATCTTCATACCCGCCCGCTCGAGAATCTAGTAGACCGATTTCTAAAATCTTTCACCAAAAGCGAAGCGATATCTTACGCGGGTGACGTAGGCTATATCAAAACTATAAAAAAATACGGTTAACTATTTAAAAAGAAATCAAACAATTATGAACACACAATAATATCTATATTTTAACTACTAATATAATGTTACAAATCTAAAAATTAGTATTATATTTTCTAAATGCCAGTAAATATTGTATATAGTGATAATGGTTGCGTTCAATCCACTTTGACAAGTTTCTGCAAAGACGTTCCCAATATGAAGGACCTGAAAAATAAAAGAAAAGAAGCTATACATAATATTCTTAATAAAAAAATGCTAAAAAAATCCCAAGACTTCGCAATCCGGGCGACTGCTCTAACCTGAACTACCCAGGACCTAACAGGACTGGCGAATTTTTAAGTACTTGTTACTTTTGTGCTACTACAGAGCATATTTTCATCAATGTTCAGGCAATAAATCCAAACAGCCGTAAGAAATATTTTTACAAATATTAAAACTTTCGATAGCACGAAAATTTCTTTTAATTATTATATTTGATCAATTTTGCATTCACAATGCTATACTGCAAAATATTCTTAATGAAAAATGCTTAAAAATCTTCTTTGTTCCTGGCAGTCTGAGATGGGACTCGAACCCATGACATTTCGCAATTCTGGCGACTGCTAGCTACCTAGGACCTAACAGGACTGACGAATTTTTGAGTATTTAATTTTTTTTTAATATTATGAAACATGTGAAACCTTACGTTGTTTTCTTGTTGGGATGAGTGTTGTTCATTAACGTAGGCAATAAAATTGCGCACAGATATATGCCTTGCATGGTATATATCAAGTATTGCCAATTGGTGCCGATAAATTCATTATTTTCATCTTCCATTGTTTTGCTGGCAGATTTCACCGTGCGATAATCGACAATTCGACGTAAATCACTTCCTCTTTTAATATCTCTACTTTGTCTTTCTTGGTAAAGATTTACCGCCATTTGACCAGTTCTGCGCTGAGCGTCACGAGATATTCGTTCACGTTCTGATGACCGAGCTCTCTCATTTAAGTAGCGTCTTTCTCTGAGCTCGTCTTGTTGCCGGCTCACTTCGGACGATCTACTGTTATCTTGTCGAGATCCCATGTTGCGTCGCTCATAATTAGTTTCCCATGAAAGAGTTCTAAATGTACGCATATTTTCTGAATATCTTCTATCTCTTGAATTCTGCCGATTTTCATGAACTTCCCTGTCACGTATGTTAAGGATCGTCCTCTCGCGATCATCATGACGGCTTGTCAACATCCGGGGTGCTGAATAGGATCTTGCACGACGTTCTTCCTCCCTTACAATAAATCTAAAATTATCTCTGGTATTTGCACGGGTTTCTCTTTGCTCCTGAGGCAATACAATTAGACGACTTATTACTCGTACCGAACGTGCAATGTTCCTTTCATTATTTACATCAACATGCATAATTTCCACTGTATCTAGGGGCACGGCATGTTCTTTACTTTCTCTGATAACCCTGCGTGTATCACGTCTTCTGTTATCGTTACTTACAATCGCAATCCTGTTCTTGCGTTCCTTGTCATCTCGATGCCTACTTAAAAACCGGGTAGTTAATTTTCGATCACCATTTACTCTCTCCCTTTCACTTATTTCAGTGCGTTTACCTTCTACGCTTCTAACTCTTTGAAATTCTGATCGAATATTGCGTTCACCATTTGTTACTCTAAAGTTTTCAGTTGAGAGTTGCATGTGTTCTACTTTTTGTCGTGTGAATCTATCCAAGGATCGAGTGGATCTCTGAGTGGAATACTGATATCTCATATTTGCTCGAGCTACAGAAATTTCTCTTCTGACAACCCTTTCGGTTTGGATACGTTGACCATTTTGGACGGAAGGCTGTAGTTCCATAAAAAGTCTACGAGTCGCTGCGATATCATTTAACATATGTCGAATGCTTTCTCGTTGATTTATTTCACGTTTTCTATGTTTGACTGTGTTTTCTAAAGTTCTGATTACTCGTTCATCAGATGTCCCAATTTTTGAATTCAAATATGAAGCAAAGTTTCGTTTTTCTAAATCAGTTTCAATGTTCCGAATGCGGGAATCTCTTATTTCTATAGGAACTCGTCTATTAATCATTAAACGGAATGTAGTTGCAGCAGAACGAGTACGAAAATCTGAATTACGAATTACTTGTCGTTCTTGAGCGTCGTGAAATGAATTTGCTGTAGCAGAAATCATAGCATAGTGTCCGTTGCGAAAGTCATCACGTCTTACTTCCCTAATATACCGGCGCTCTTTTAGGTGACGATTTTCAGCTGAAAACTCGAAAGGATTGTTTCCATTAAGTCTTGCAGTATCTCTCGAAAGGCGATGGTCACAGCACTGTTGCCTGCCATCAACGAGATTGCGTTCAGCGGAAGACGCAATCGGTTTGAATACCGCGAAAAACGCAAATAGTAGTAAACGCCAGTTATACATAGTAACAGTGAGCTGTAGTGTATATATTTTCTTCCTGCACCTTATAAGAGTTAGAAGTATACCGTTGGAGGCTGCTTCTGTACTGACCCTTGTATCGCCTTAACCCTCTTTTATATCAAACTGAAAGCATCCAATTGAATATCTATTAAGCGCTAGAATGCACCTAATTTTCAAACCCTAACGCGTGGATACTTTACAAAGACACTAACAAGTAAGTTTGATCCTTGAAAACTTTTACAAAGTAACATCACTCCTCTTTAAATATTTATTAATATTAAAACCATGAATATATTATGTACTGTATCTGTACGTGAAATTTTAATCATATTTTTTCTGTGTACTCACACAGTTTAAATAACTATCTGCCACAAAGCCCTAATCTTTCAATATACATCCGATAAAAAATTATGAACTGCTTTTTGTTACCCTTTCATCCCATTCCCCTTCCCTAATGAAAGCCGTAGATTAGTTTGGGATACGAATTAAGATTAAGATCACTAACGAAATGCTTACTTTGTCTTTAATAAATCCTACTTTTATATGGCTATACAATATATATAAAAAGTATGAAATTAAAATGGGAATTAATAACTCTCAAGCATTTATACTTTCTGATGAAAGCCATTTTAAAATTTTAACTAATATTATTTGATATGAGTACCTTATATAAAATAGCGACATGAATATATATCATCGTACATTCAATTACGAACCTATCTTCTATATAATGTCAAATGAATTTAAATTAATAATATATTTTTATTCAAAGTATCAATGTAACTTGGACGCCGTAACACTCTTATCGCCCCGGGCACAGCTGCTGCGGGTAGATTCGTTTACGCGCGTAAAATAATTATGATCTGAATCTTAGACATCCTTTGGAGCAGAAAATAGGAATCCATAAATTGAATCCATTGACGCCATACCCGTTGTCACTATTCTCTTTTCTATATATAGACTATATTTTCCGACGAAAACGTCCAGTCGATAGGTATACATAAAGATTATTTACAGAGTATGAAAGATAATTATCAAAATTAATGCAATTATGATAATTATTTTTTATTGGATAGGGTAGGTATACTCATATGGTAGTACCATATAAAATTCGATTTCTGAACAGTAATTTTGTTTGTATATCAGGTCTTTACCTATAAAAATGCTGTTATTCGTGAAATAAACAAAGCGTATTTAATCAAAGTAATTACCCATGCAATCAATCCATCTTTGCCAACGCATTGGTAGCTTATTGATGCTCTTTAAGAAATCAGTTGGACGGGAGGCAACAAATTCTTCAAAGGCATTTTGTACTGCCTCTCAGGTATTTAATTTTTTCCCGCCAATGGCATTCGAACCCACCATCCGGGCGTTTGCAATAACCTTATGCTACCCGACACCGAAACTCTTTTTTACTGTTCGGTTTGCTACTAGTGAACTTACGTATTTTTAATCAATGTGTAGGAACCGTAAGGGACCATCCATTAATCACGGGATTTCTTTTCAGTATTTTTTAACCCCCCCTCCCCCTTGGTGATACATTTATTTATTTATTTATTTATCACTGAAACATGCACCGGCTTACATAATACTCCATCACACTGACTCATTATACATTTGTCATGAGAATTATGATTTTTACATGTCATAAAAGTAATTGTACTTATATTGAATTAAGTTAGATGTTCAATTAATCTACACTAATATTATAAAGAGGAAAACTTTGTTTGTTTGTTTGTAATCAAAAGGCTCAAAAACTACTGGACCGATTTTAAAAATTCTTTTACCATTCGAAGGCTACACTATCCAGGAGTAACATAGGCTATATTTTATTTTGGAAAAAAATAGGGTTCCGTAAGATATTTGGGTTTTTGGGACACAAGGTGTAAAAAAATCAACCAGAAAAGTTACTGCCTAAACTATAAAAAATAGAACCATACAATGTTCTTATTAATTGTAGATCTTAAAAATATCAACAAAAAAGTCCGCGACACACTATACCTATCCATGTCGAATGAGACACAACCATTTTTTTATTTAAAAATCTTGAATTTTTGTAGACTACATTTAAACGCGTTTATTTAACTCATGCTATTGATTCTTATCAAAATCTATAAATCTCTACATCTTTGAATGATTAGAATTGGACGTTTGGTTTAGAAGTTATGGCGAAATTAAAATATTACGATTTCTGCTGAACGGCCCGTTGCGAAGTGGGCTTCACCAAGTGCGCGTGCGGGAGAGGAGTTTAGATCTTTGAGTAAGGTACCAGCGGACCACGCGGGCGGAAAGCTAGTAATAAATATTATAACTCCTTTACAAACAATAAATAAGTAATGTCAAATTATGCGATAATGAAAATGTCTTCTTTCGTCTTCTATTGATTAGTATCTTCTTCTTAGTCTGTAAACATGATTTTAAAGTACGTAGTAGATTTAGAGTAAGTTCGAAGAATAAAATGGAATTCTGATTTTACATATAGAAATTAATTTATTCACGGTAGGAGCTTGTGAGCAGCGTAGTTATTTCGTGTAACCGGCCTCAGCAGAATAGGATAGCGGCGAGAGATAGAGGGTGTCGAATACATGTGGAGAATCCACCCTGTGGTAAATTACAGCTAGGTAATGTGCTATGAGAAATTTCCTTCTAAAAGTCAACATTTCGACACCTGCCATCCCACTTACAAATAAGGACGGGAAGAGGAAGGAATAATAACCATAGCACTTTTTATATAACCAATGGGTAAACTTCCCCTGTATTCTTTCTATCAAGAGATTGTATTTTTCCTCATACGGATCCGAAATGATCGCCCGTACTCGAATTTGCTACGTACGTAAGTATTGTATACAGTACTCTTGCCACTGCCAGACTATTGAATGGTGAGGTTTAAAACTAAAATCACGTGTATTTTAGTACCTACACAAAAATCTTAATTTTTGGCCCCTAAGGCTGAAGGCGTGGTCCTATGAATGGTGGAGACAACTGGAAAGGGATACTAAGGGGTAATTATCTCCCTCCGAGCTAGATAGAGCCCGGGGACCGCGGTTCAACCGATTTTTTTAAGCTGTGTTTACTGTTGGCCTCAGATGGCCTTTACAGTGTAACCGGACTAAGTGGTGGCGATATCCTCAGGACCTTAAGACGAGTGAACGATTTTCGTGGAGGGCATCACCCCACGAGGTGTCTCCACCTCGTTGAAAGTCGCCCTGGTCTCTCGTAACTGACCCTGGGGGTCGAAATGAAATTAATTAATTTTATAACATTCATAGTTGTATTTCAAGTTTTAGTTAATTATGAAAGAGTGGGAAAAAATCTTAACATTTTTATAGATTTAAAAGTAGATTGTCGTAACAAAAGTCTTTAATTACGACGTTTGCCTGACGGCTGTAGTTTGTTTTCTCCAAGGAACTTAGCAATACTGCCAAATCTTGTGTAGGTCGAACTATTGAAATAATATTGATCCTGAGCAAATCTTAAATGTTTTAAGAAGAGGGAGGTGTCCTTAGAAAATAATATATCAAGATATGTACCTACCTAAATGAGTTTGACTATAATTGAAGGGTATCCTTGTTTACTAGTATGACAGCTACATGATTTCGCACAATCTGGAATTTAGCGAATTTTTATTATTTGCCTTGGGAAAAATTGAGACGAGTCTAAATAGTTTTAGCGAATTCTATTCGATCTTGGAACATAACCTAAAAATCTGATTTTATTATTTCTCAGTTTCCTCATTGCAAAAGTAATTTATGTTAATAAAAAAGTTTTACGAACATATTTGATACATAAATAAATTAGTAACATTATTCTACATCAACAGTAAAAAATACATTTGACTGGTCAACGCTTGAGAGTAAACATTCTGTGAGCTGTTGACTGTACATAGGTATAAGGTATTCCAGACATCTTTATACTGCCAAGTTAAAACACTTTTAAAAATAATGCGACTATCAGCCAGTTGCGCAAACGGCCATTATAAATGTCATTAGTTTAAAGCGACATTACCGATACAAATTTGACAATCATTAGGGCTTAAAGGCGTCATTAAACCATAATCAACGTTTGTGCAACTGGCCGATTATCTTCTAAACTAAAGCACTTTAGAAGTTCATTATTTCAAAATATAGTCTAAAATAAAAATGAGCTCATAAAATATTTAAACAAGACATTGTGTACCACTCGGCTGCTCTACGGAAAAAGAAAGTATTTTTTCAAAACCGGTGTTTTTACACTTTTTGCACGTTAAGATAATAACGGATAATGCTCCAATCTGAAATCATCAAAAGTAAGAGAATAAATCACGGCAAACAAACTAACCGCAGACACTTTTTCAAAAGATTACAGGGAAACACAATTGAAAAGCATTAATGAAGCAATTGCATGTCGATTACTTTATTTTTAAGTTGTGAATTAATTCACTTCGTTTTTGATCGGTAAAAATGTTTTTTTACACCAAAATTTAGCTAAAAAAAATAGCATTATTTAATTTTTTCTATTGTAAAAAAATGTTAAATACCAATTTATCATTCAAAAACAATGAATTGTCAAAGGAAAACTAAGTAGGTAATCGAATGACAATTACTTTATTTTCTCTAAGCTTAGTTTTTAAGGAGCATTTACTTCATTTATTGATTTCTAAATCATATTAAAATGTTTAACAGCCAGTTGCACAAACGTCCTTTAAAATTTTCATTAGTTAAAAGTGACATCACCCATACAAATTTGACATTCATTAGAACTTAAAGGCGTCATTAAACTTTAATGGACCATTGTGCCGCGAGATATTTTATTTGGCACTTGCTTTTGTTTTCGCTTTCAGAACGCATCCTATAACTTCATTAACGGTCAGTTGTACAAACGTCCATTAAGGTTTAATAATGCCTTAAAGCTCTAATGAATGTTAAATTTGTATGAGTAATGTACTAATGTTGCTTTAAACTAATGAAAATTTAAATGGATGTTTGTGCAACTGGTTGTATGTTACTAGCGCAAAACATTGATGTGACAGATGATCAGTAACAGATGGGCCGTGTAAAAAAAAAGATGTGCTATTTGGTCTACTCTAAATGATCATGGAAAAAGTATTTACTAAGACTTATATGTATAAGCATAAATAAAATAAATGACCATTGTTGATTTACTTATTGAAAGCAACATCTTACCGACACTTATCCGTCGCCAGAGACCGTAAGAGGAAATAGGACACGAGTTGATTAAAAAAAATATTTTAAATGTAGATTTTTAGTTTTTCCTCCTCCTGTAATAATTTTCTTTTACCATAGGGCAGCCACACTAGGCTATTTGAAAGCGGAAGTACTTACGCATATGGTCTCAACAACCAGAGTATTTTAACGCTCTATCTAATCCTATGTTTATTAAAAAAAAACATCTTGACTAGATTCAAATACCTACTTGATATTACTACTTAGCTAACTCAACATTAAAAGGGAGGGTGAGTAATTTTATAATAATACCAAATTCTGGGCAACCAAAGGTTTATTTTTGTAAAATTCACTTAGAGTTAGTTGTATCCATATGATTGGATAACTGATGTGAAAGGTGCTGTAGCTTTTGTCACCTTTTCTCCGGCGGTCTTAGTGATTTTCTGAAAAAAGAAAAATTATAATTTAAATACACATTAAAACAACAGTAATTAGAAACTTTAGTGTATGGTGAGTATCAGTTATTTGTTTTTTCATAGAACCTCAAATAATGTAGGTAAGTTAATTAATCATCATGCTAAAATTTGTATTTGTTGATAAAAAAATATACATAATTACAATTGTACAAAATAATATATAGTACATAATATATATACCTTAAGTTTCCTTTCGTATGCTACTCGTTTAACAGCCTTTGTCTTCCTCTTGTCTTCAAGTTTGCGGACAACCTCTCTATACTTCCATCCAACTTCATGCGACAGGCGACCCACATGACAGTACTGTAACAATTTATAAAAAATTTCTGTATAATTTGTATAAATTCATGCCACAAATGGTTATGGCAAATTAAAACTCAGATAGTAAATATGTTTGCAACATATTTTTGTTTCAGTCGCAAATTACCCAATATAAAACATCATAGTAATCCACCTTTAAGAATAAGTTGGTAGATAACATTTCATCATTGTTTTTTTTTTTTGGGTCATGATGGAAGTTCCATACCTTACGACCAGGTTTCAAGCAGAAGACGCGGAGGGCAGCAGGGACAACCACACGACGACGGTTGTCATATGGTGGTGGGCAACCATCATATGCACGGAGCCTCCTGAGTGCATCCTTTCCACGTTCAGTCTTGTGTGGAATCATTCCTGTTGTTATAAGGTTGGTTATTAGAAACTATTTAGTACTTATTCAATAGTTTCAGAATAGAGAAAGTCTTCATAAAATTTATTTTATCATAATACATCAGATAATGTAGGTATTAAATTCAAATAATCATTATGGGTACTATCAAATAATACTGAACTTGCCACTTTTATCATATGACATTAACTGGTAATTTAGATGTTTAAAAAAAAGATTCCACCAACCTATAGGTGGTTACCTGACCACCTTTATATTTTGCAAATAACTTCATTATGATAATCTACAAATTGCATTTGTAGACATTTCATTAATTAGTACCATTATTTTATACTAAATAATGCTTAATTTAAGATCATCTACAAGTGTTAGATTATAAACAATATGGAAAACAATGCATTTGTATTGTACTAGCAGTACATTTACCTCTGACAGTTTTCCATAGGATCTTAGAAGGTGCTCTGAAGTGGAAAGGTCCACGGGCTGGGTTAACGTTGCACCTCTTCCGCAGGAATGACATAAACTTCAATTTGTTCCTATAATTAAGCAAATCAAAATATTAGGGATAAAATGCATATCCTTTCATTTAGATTTAAAGCACAGTAAATCACTTATAGACAGTTAACATCACTAAAAACTACATTCAATATGTGAGCATTGAATGTATAATTGTATATTATATGTATCAGTAGGTACAGAAACAATGCAGAGCTACTGGATTTGTTGTATGAGACTGCAAAATTCAGTGGAAACAAGAGATTTATGGAAAGCAATACATAGTTTTCTTTCAATGCCATGTCTATTTTTTCATCTGTCCTAGAGACTATAGTTTATGAAGATAAGACTATAGGTTATAAGGTTAACTGTCGACAATTCACCTATTCTGACACAGCAATATAGGAGCTCAATGTTTGGTGATCAAATATCACCAATATTGTGGAAGACAAGCAACTTTCACTAAGATCAACTATCAAATGGGTGAAAATATTTCTTCTTTAGTTTTGAGCTTCTTCATGCTTCAGAAGGCATGTTAATCTATCTAGTTGTAAGCACTCACTAGTCCAAAACTGGGCCCATATGGTGTGGGTTAAAAGGCCTGTTCTCCCTATGTAATTGTGTTCTTTGGAAAAACCCATGAACCAGCACTAGCACTAATTAAGTAACAATAATATCGTGAGAAGTCCCACATATGTTAAGAGAAAATAAGTAGTGTAAAAAGCTCTTGTTAATAAACATAAGAAGAATAATCAAGAGGACTGACTGAGAATAGATTATCAGTCTTGAACACTGTTGGTCAAGAACTATTGAATATATTGCAGTAAATTTGTGTTAAACTTGTACAAATTGATGTATGTGGATTTCCTTCTTTCTTACAAAATATAATTTTTGCATTCAATTATAATACATAACAGCACATACATAAAGACATATAAAAACACTCACCTGAAGAAATTGCCAGAGATATTTAGCTGTTCACAACGAACAACCACTACTTTGTTTCCTTCCAAAAGGACTTTAGCGATGACTGCGGCCAATCGGCCGAGCAAGTGGCCACGGCCATCAATTACAATGGCCTGAAAGGAAAACAGAAAATAAGGCTCGTGTACATACCGCTATTCCTAACCTCCAACAGTTGTCAAAGATACACAGTTAACATTACCACTATTTGGAGTAATTAAATTAAGTAGAAATCTGCCACAACTTTATAGCTCGGCTATAATAATATAGGACGGGTATCTAATTTTATTTTATTGATATACTTGGGTATAACCGCGCACGTGTACAGTGCATTTTATCTTTATGAAGCACTCGGCACATTGTAACTTAACTTAAATTATAAATTAAGGTTAATACTTTGCTAAACGAAATTCGATTCGATTTATCGGATTCAAATTCTTGATTTAATAACAAAATTTCTCTCACCTTATTACTAAAGCCCGTCATTTTCACGACAACAAAACGGAAAAGGACTGCTTTAAAAAAATGGCTACCGGATATTATTTACACAGACTAGTGAGAGCAGTAAGGTGGCCCAAATGCCCAATCACGATTCTACACGGTGTCTTACTTGATAACTCAGAAATATCTTTTGGCTGCTTTACTCGTGATTAAGTAGTAAGACGATTTTTTACTTAATTTTAAGTAATCAAACACCAAAATTCGAATTAGTTTTATGTAGCAATTTATATTTACAAGCTTAATAAAAAGTCGTCCACACGGTAGGAAATCAGAGCTCTGACCCCCTCCTTATTCTATAACCTTCTCAACTTCTGAGAACAACCGTAATAAATTGCTCACATAAACAGCTCTGTGAGTTGCGCGAGTTCTGTAAATCATTTGTAATAAATCGGTAATCCCTAGCCAGTTGCTACATTTTTTTACTTCGGTGTAATCACTCGTTGAAATTTTTTAATTTATTTATTAGGTAACACAACATACATTAATAATATATCGGGTTGGCACAAAAGTAATGAGACACTTGGTTTAAGTTTTTACTTTTTTATTATTATTACAATAAAAAAAAGTTTAGTCAATGATGTAATTACCATTAGTATCTAAGACTTCTTGCCAACGATCCGGCAAAGTTTGGATGCCTTTTACCCACAACTCTGATGGCTGTGCCTCGAAAAAGTTGTTCAACTCCGCCTCTACGTCAGAGAAATCATTAAATTGTTTACCCCGCAAATGCTGTTTCAGGGTTCTAAACAAATGATAGTCTGATGGGGCGAGGTCTGGGGAATAAGGTGGGTGGGGTATCGTCTCCCAGCCCAAGTTCTCCAACTGCCGGCGAACCACAGATGCGACGTGAGGTCGAGCGTTATCGTGCAGTAAAACTACATTGACTCGTCTTCGTCGTTTTTTCTTGATAGCGGCAAATAATTTGGTAAGCTGGGTTGAATATTTGTCAGCGTTTTTAGTTTCATTGTGTAATAGCTCATAAAACAGTATGCCTTGCGCATCCCAGAAACAGTAAAGCAGAATTTTTCGGCGGTTCTTTTGACTCGGCTTCGGTTGAGTTGGTGGCGTTTCTTCTCGAGGCAGCCAAAAAGCACGACGTGTATCGTTCTCGTAATAAATCCATGATTCATCTCCAGTAACTAGATCTGACAAAAACTCTTTACGTCGGGGGTCGCAGCAAAAGTGACTGACAGATAGCGACACGGACTGCACGACTGGCGTCTGTAAGGATGTGCGGTACCCACCGAGCCAAAACTTTTCGATAACTAAGCTCATGCAGATGGTGTTCCACGGCGTGGTGACTGCATTTAAGTGCTTCTGCTAATTCACGAGTGGTAGCATCCGGATTCAACTGCAGTTCGCGGCGCAAATCGTCATCATTCACTGCGGGTGGTCGCCCTGAGCGTGGCTGACTTTCAAGGCTCCTGTCTCCTGATTTAAAACGGTCAAACCATCGGGACACCGTCGCATGGCTTGTACTTCCAGCGCCTAATGCATTGTTGATATTGTCTAGCGATGGACGTTATTCGCGATAGACAGTTAATCAACTAGTGATCTGCCTGAACCGCGATCACTCGTGATTCAGTTATACAATAACTATCTATTTTCCATAACGTTCTAAAATTAAACCAAATTCACTCGTATGTCAACAGCATAAAGTCGATCTTTGATTTGACGATCACCAAGAAGTAGCGATCACAGGTTTACAATAACTGTCTATTATCCATAACGTTCTAAGGTTAGACCGAATTCACTCTTATGTAAACGACATTACGTTGATTGTCGGTTGCCTCGCTTCAAGGTAGCATCGATCACCAAGAAGCAGCGATCACAGATCGCAGCGATACGTAGACATCTTTATATATTAACGCTTTACATTGACGGTCATGTAGTACAATTTTTATAACGGTATAGAATGTAACGCGTAATGTAGAGCGTTTAAATAATGTGGATCGCAATCAATCCAATCTGTCATGAGTGAATGAAACAAAAATAGGATGTCAGTATACGTGTGAATGAAATAGGTATATGCTAGTTCGCTCACGTTATTCGGGTTTCGGAGTGATCAAGTGACCAACCCAAAATTGAGCTTTATCGCGTTAGCATAAGAGTAAAATTCGGTTTGACTTTAGCGTTGTAGAAATAACTAGTTATCAAAAATAGATAGTTTTGATATCGGTGATTGGCGATCTGATAGCGATTGCGTTACGTGATTTGAAAACTGGATAACGACCCAAGTAGCATTTTGGGTTGGCCAACCGTGCAATACGGTCGGGAACAAGTTGGGAAAACGTTAGTGAGATTTATTACAAAGTTCCAACTATCTGCCAACAGTTTTATTGCAGGAAAAAATACCATACGCACATCCAACTATGGCCCTACTGTCATTTATTGTTATTTTTTCTCACAAATATTTCTCACGTTAACCCAACGAAGGACCTACTATGATTTTTGGTTGGGTTGCCATCTCAAATGCCATACCAAAATGTTATATTGGCCCTACCATAGTTTTTCATTCATATCCCAACTGAAAAGCCCTACAAATTTTCAACCTGGGCCCTACCACGACTTTTAGTTGGAATCCTAACAAAAGTTCCACACAAAAATCTGCCGTGAGCCCAACCACAGTATTTTAATAATATTCCAACCGAAAATTCTTACTTATTTTCAAACTAGGCCCTACCACTACTTTTAGTTGGTATTGTTACGAACATTCCATACAAAATTAGGCGTAAGCCCAACCATAGTATTTTTATTAATATCCCAACTGAAAAGCCCTACAAATTTTCAACCTGGGCCCTACCATGACTTTTAGTTAGAATCGTAACAAAAATTCCACACAAAAATCTGCCGTGAGCCCAACCACAGTATTTTGATAATATGCCAACTGAAAATTCTACCTTATTTTCAAACTAGGCCCTACCACTACTTTTAGTTGGTATTGTTACGAACATTCCATACAAAATCAGGCGTAAGCCCAACCATAGTATTTTTATTAATATCCCAACTGAAAAGCCCTACAAATTTTCAACCTGGGCCCTACCATGACTTTGAGTTGGAATCCTAACAAAAGTTCCACACAAAAATCTGCCGTGAGCCCAACCACAGTATTTTGATAATATGCCAACTGAAAATTCTTACTTATTTTCAAACTAGGCCCTACCACGAGTTGAAGCAGAAATTTTATCAAAAATTCCATAGAAAATATGGCGTAAGGCCAACCACGCTATTTTTATTAGTATCCCAACTAAAAAGCCCTACTTTTTTTCAAACTAGGCCCTACCACGACTTTTAGCCGGAATCCTAACAAAAATCCCACACAAAAATCTGCCGTGAGATCAACCACAGTATTTTGATAATATGCCAACTGAAAAGTCTTACTTATTTTAACGAAAAAAAAAAGTCTTAAGTATTGTAACGAAAATTCCATACAAAATCAGGCGTAAGCCCAACCATAGTATTTTTCTTAATATCCCAACTGAAAAACCTTATTAATTTTCAAACTAATCCCTACCACGACTTTAGTTTTGAGTTTAGTACTAACATTAATATTTGTGAACATGCACAAAACTTTACAGACAGACTTCTTATTTATTCTTCTTTTATCTTGTAAACCTCTCATATAAAAATACTTCTGAAAAATCAAGTTTTACCATTTCATATTTTGCGGATTAAACTATTTAAAACCATTTTTTTTCCGGAGGTATAATTATTTTATTTAACGTTGATAATTCATTATATTTTTTTTTAGTTTTATTGTGATTATTATCTTCGTAGCACTTTTTAATCTTTATGTAGTGCCGTCCTTGGCCCATCTTCTTTCTTAAAAATTGGTTTGAGCCCAACTGCAGTATTTTTATTAATATCCCTACTGAAAATGCAAAGAATGTCCCAAACATACTACCCCATCCTACCACAGTTTTGAGTTAGATTTTTAAGAAAAAGTTAATACAGATATCTGATGAGGGCCCTATCTAGTATTTTAATAATATCTCAACGACTCCCAACCGAAAACGCCTACAAAGGCTCAAAGAGACGCCATCTTATTTTTTGATTTCGCTAATGTTGCTAGATGTAAGGACGTTCTCCCAATTTGGACTATATTCTCAGCATCAGAGAAAATGTCAAAATATATATGGATATTTTTAAAGAATGTTATGTAATGAGAATTCACTTGATAAAATATCCAACAAATAAAATATTAAGGTATTACTTATTACTTACTCTAGAGATTTTTCTGACATAACACAATTTGACACCTTTGTACGATCTAATTTTCATTTTACAACAGTACTACCATATTCTCCTTTACCAACATATGTTGGCTAAAGGAGAATGGTGACTTTGGATTTGACAACGTTTTAGGGGGTAATCTATAAAAATTGCTTTGTTTGAGAATTACAGCATACTTAGATTAAAAACATTACATAATATCATTCGAAAGTATAAAAAGTTCTGTCTTTCTTTTTGTAAGGAGTAATCTCCGGAATGACTGAACTGATTTTGATGTTACTTTCACTGGAAGATAGTTTTTATTACTTTTTACCCCAAATTCAAGCGGGTTCGGGATTTACGCGGGAAAAATCGTGTTGACACAAAATCCTAACTACGGGAGTGAAGTCACGGGCAAGTTAGTCTATAATATAACTGATTTAACAAGATTTTCAAAAATTTATCGAAATAAATCTAACGTGTATAAACATGATAAAAAAATTATAAAAAAAGCATTGTTAATGGTAAAATATTAAATTCAGTATTAGAATCGATTACCTCGGTAATAATCAGTACTAAATGCCATGCTATGCCTATAATTCAACCTCTTTGTTATATAATGAAATCACTATATTGACCTGTCAAATAGAAATTATTTTCAATTTCACGCTCTATTTCAAGGAAATAGAGTAGGCCCCTAGTTGCGCTCAGGCATCATCGATGCATTGATTTAAACTAATATTACTTGATAAATACTTTATTTCACACTGACT